CGATATAATGCTATTACACGTTGAAGAAAAAAAAAAAAAAATAAATAAATTACCCCGTTCTTCACGCATCGTCCTTTTTAATTAAACGTTACCTCCTACTTGACGTTTCGGTATTGCTCATTACGAGGAACGATTACAAAGATTCAATTTAACGTGACCGTAATTTGATTAAACGCAACACAACGTGCATGCACTTTATTCCCTTCCCCTTCCACTCTTTTTGTGTGTACACAAATATACTTGGCTACGATCGTCGGCTCGATTTATTAGCCCGATCGGGTTAAACGAGAAGCAGAGGAGCGAAGGGAAAGATCGGGAAGATTGGTCGTCGACCAGGCTTCGTTTACGCGCGACCAATTTTCCTCTCGAAACGGGTATTTTATTTTCCATACTTTTTGACATTCGAGACAGATGAGGAGGGGAAAACGCAGCGTTTGAACGTTGCCGCGAGAAAGGAGGGGAACTGTCGCTGTCGTTTCAATTTTCACGGAGTTCCGCGGCTAAAACTCGCTTCTTATCCGTTGAAACTGTTATTCAACCGCACTCTTTGATTAGCAAACCCATTAAAATTTGTAATTTCCCATCGACGTTGAATAATCATTATTATTTTTTTGTTTTTCCTTTTTGCGCGCGCGCGGATGTACGTATTCCTCGACAACACAGAAGATTGGCGTTAGTGTTAAGTTTAATTTAGAGACAGTCGGTGTACACAGAACGGGGAGGAAGTTTTGTTTTACTCTTAAAGCAATGAATTTATTGACATTGTATCCTTAATAATTGACAGGAGGAGATAGGTTAGTCATTTTTGCCTGGGGATCGTTTTCGAGGGATAGTTTGGAATTGACTTGTTAATTCTTCCCTTCGTTTGATCGCCTCTGCGACGAGACGTGTATATATATATATATATATATCCTATTCTGCCAGCGTTAATTTCTTCGAGCTGAATTAATTTGCAATTTAACACAGGATAATATGATAAAATATTGAAAATGAACTTAATGCGCTTAATCAAATTCAAGTTGTAATGGATTTAGATTAGATTAGCGTAATTATTATGTATTTCGTTGTCGCTTTCGAATTGGCGTTATAACATCGATATTAAATTTAATTCTTTTCCACATGGATCCACTTTATATTCGCGGTAATTTTTATCTTGATTGAGCCAAGGACACGGTATAATATTAATAATCCAATTGATTAAATCTCTTAATTATACATATTATGAAACATAAGTTTATATCAGTATATTTCTCTTCTCCCTTAAACCGATGAAGTCATCATCGTTTCTATGAAATTCAAACTTGTAAATGCAAACGTGAACATCATTCGTTAATTTCCATAAAATATTTTCAATCTATAATAATAAATAATAATATTACGAGCAATATTATCCCTTCCTCTTAAAAATTTCAACAATTTCCTGAGACATTCCCTTTGAATATCGATTAACCGTATCACCACGCTATAACAAGATAATCACGTCCAATTCGCGTCATCCAGTCCCCAGAATCGTTGGATGCGGCAACTCGTCGTACAAGCCGCTCAATTAGAAGGGCACACGAAAGGGAACACAATCGCCCCTCCCCCTCCTCCTCCTCCTCCCACCTTATCTCTTCCTAGCTGGAACTCTCCCTCGGTTGTCCGTCTCCTCCCCCCTCCTCTTCAGCCGCGGCTGAAATTCTGATAAGACTGCACGGGAGAGGAGGAGAGGGAGAGGAGGAGTGAAGAAACGCAGCCACTTCCGTTTCTAGATCATTGTTTGCGAACGGTTAATAGCCCCTTGGGTACACCTACCTACCCGACCGACCGAGCTCCACTCGCTCTCATGGAAGCGCGAATCATCCTCCATCTCTCTCTCTCTCTCTCTCTCTCCTTCCTTTTCTCCGTCTAGACCGCATCTCTTCTTCATTCGTCTCGAGAGTCAGCCACACGGAAGGTTTCTTTCTTTCGCCTACTACGCGCATCAACTTCCTTTCTTCTTCTTACTCGCTTCTTTCCTACCTCGTTCTCTCGAAAAATTATGCGCGCCGGGAAGGTGAACATCCGTTTTACACGCCTCACGCATGCCT